TCAGGAGATCGAGACCATCCTGGCTAACACGGTGAAACCCCGTCTCTACTAAAAAATACAAAAAATTAGCTGGGCGCGGTGGTGGGCGCCTGTAGTCCCAGCTACTCGGGAGGCTGAAGCAGGAGAATGGCGTAAACCCGGGAGGCGGAGCTTGCAGTGAGCTGAGATCCGGCCACTGTACTCCAGCCTGGGCGACAGAGCAAGACTCTGTCTCAAAAAAAATAAATAAATAGATGATCTGATGTTGATTATTTTATCAGTGGGTAGATTCAATGCCAAATTTCCTCATTCGTTTTTGCCAAAATGTGCTTTTATTCTAGCCTCTGTTGAGGGCCTGGACATAAAGGTGAAAAGGTTTGGCTGGGTGCAGTGACTCATGCCTATAATCCCGACACTTTGGGAGGCCAAGGCGGGTGAATCAGCTGAGGTCAGGAGTTCAAGAGAAGCCTGGTCAATGTGGTAAAACCCCATCTCTACTAAGAATACAAAAATTAGCCGAGCGTGGTGGTGCGTGCCTGTAATGCCAACTACTTGGGAGGCTGAGGCAGGAGAATCGCTTGAACCCGGGAGGTGGAGGTTGCAGTGAGCTGAGATTGCGCCACTACACTCCACGCTGGGTGACATAGCAAGACTCCATCTCAAAAAAAAAAAAAAAGGTGAAGAGGTTTTTTTTTTGACAGAACTTTTTTTTAATTGGCAACTCCTCTTTATGAATAAATTAATATGGAATCAAGTTTCCCCAGAGTAAATGGAAACTTGATTTCCTTCTTGTGGATTTAGAACACAGGGAAACATAATTAATTTGATAGCAGCAACCAAAAATGTAAAAATGTTTATTTGAGTTGAGAGGTGCTGAGTTTATCTGGTTCATGAAAAAAGAAGCTTTAATTAGCAAAGAGGGGTATAAGATAATAGTGGGATAATTTAAATGTTCAGGGTAACAAATGTTCTCTAGAACTTTTTAAACCACTTTAGCAGTACCCCCACTTGACTGCATTGTGTTAAATTAGTTTTCCCTCAATCCCTTCAATTACTTCTTCAAAAACATGCTTATAGATTTAGAACTGTTGAAAAAGTTTCAAGGGAACTTATGACTTTATTTTAAGCTGGTGAGGGTCTCTTTTGATTGTCCTAGTCCGTAGGGGATCTTCTGAAAGTGGGAGTTATGGTTTGGGTACTAAACTCAGTATGTTTTCACAGGATCATTGGGATGCAGCTGATCACAAGTCTTGGCCTTCCGGAGTTTGACATTGCCAGGAACGTTCTAGAACTGATCTATGCACAAACTCTGGTGTGGTAAGTTTTGTGACTCAGCAAAATGCCCAGTGGTTCCCACATGACTGTGGAGTTGGTGTTTTGGTAGCAAAGTCCCAGAATCTGTTGTTTTTAAAGCTGCATGGGTGATACCTCATCTAGCCAGTCTGAGAACCATGAATTTAGCATTTAGACTACCATTTTCCTTTATGAGAGCTTAAGGACTTCAGACAAGAATCAGCATAGAGCAGGGATCCCAACCTGGAGGCCTGGAGGCCACCTATAGGTGTGAGTCACCATGCTCAGCCTATTCATTTATTTTTGAGACAGGGTCTCACTCTGTTGCTCAGGCTGGAGTGCAGTGGCATGATCATGGCTCACTGCAGCCTCAACCTCCTGAGCTCAAGCAATCTTCCTGCCTTACTTTTCCTTATTTATTTTAACATGATGCAGTTAATGCCAGATTTCTGTATGGTGAATCACACTCCCAGGTTCCATCTGATGGGGTGTTGCTAATTTGAAAGTATTGGATTTGGAACAGGATAAACTGAATTCTGAGGCTGGCTCTGCCACTCATGGAGATCACTGTGCTTGTCTGAGCCTCAGACTCATCTGTAAATGCATATAAGAATGTCTGCCTTTAAGGCCAG